ACTGGAGGGCTGAAATTTTGGGGACATATTCCCACCCCGTATGTCACCCTCCCGTTTTAAGATCTTCCCCCCACGCGCTCCTAGATCTCGCATACGGACCTCCGGAAAAAATGTTCATATTTCTCTAGCGGGAAGCGATTTCGAGAACCAGGCAAGGTGCAAAGCTGCAACTCTGCAGAATTCTCTTTGCATGTGCAAGCTAAAGAAAAAAATTCTGCTGCCGCGAACGTTTGTACAGCGCGTACGATCACGTCAAAGTTTTGAACTTTGTACTGTACTAACTCGAAAACTTGCTGGGAAACAATGGCTGAAATTTTGGCAGCATGTTTGTCGCCCATATGGGAAATTGTGTATCTAAAATGAGTACCGATTTTCACTTGCGCCACGACCTAGGGTATTTCAAAGATATTTGTGGCGAAGTGGATATTTGGGTTTCGGATAAGGTGCGAGGCTGAAACTTCTCTGATATTCTACTTTCAAGTGCAGTCTTAATTCTGCTTGGAGGTGAAATTCCCTGCAGGTGGGCGTGAAAAATACTCAACATTACCGAAAAATCAGAACCGGATGCATTTTGCAGATTCCATAATCTTCTTTCGATTTTCGTGAAATCTGCATTTTTTCAAAGAACGAGGGTTTACCAGAAAACCGTCCGGGCTTCATGCAAATCCAGGCTGGAACGCACCAGCCGAGCCGGTGCGGCCATGCATTTTTGCACCAAACTTAAGTAATTGAGTTAAGTGCATGAATTGTTTTTTCACGCGCTCAGTACTGTAAATCTAATTTGCGTGCTCAATACTGTAAATCGTCGTAAATTTTGCATAATCGGAAATAAACAATTTTCGTTTAGCGGTCGTTTTTTGAAAATGATCCATCTGTTCAGTGAGTAACTTTCCTGCCAAAAACTTAAGTGCCCGTACACGAGAAGCACCTGGGGACTGAGTTTGAAACCCTTAGGTTGTATTTGAGTGCGGAATATTCACCTAAAATCTCAGCTTTCCAGCTTTTCTGGGTCCCGAGCTAGCAATTTTCCGGCCAAAACTTTCATAGGGCCGTAAGTCTTTAAATTGTACATGGGCTGGGAATATCCTTTTAAAATTTCAGCCTCCCACATTTCCTAGT